TTTTTTTTTAAATCTCGCAACAGGGGAACCAACCACTACTTAACAGTCGAAACAATGGCGACAGCTGATCGATTTGGTTCTTAAAACATTATTCTTCACAGGGCTACAACTTAGCCCAATCCCAACGTTGGGATTAGGTGGAGTTGAAAAATATGAATTCAAATTTAACACTAGATTGATAACCTGACCTAACTTTGAAGCGTACGTAACTTCATATTTATATTTGCATGTATAAATGTTACATGAATGCGTGCATATGTATTTGCATGCATATAACTCTGCATCCGTCAGTATATGTATTTAGTAGGAGTGCAACTTGGGTGGGTGGGTTGGATTGGGTCGAAGGTCAGCCCAGGCCTAGCCCTATAGGTGCAAACCTCAGGTAAGTTTTTTGTTCAGCCAGCCTGTAACCCGAAAATACAGGCTCAATTCATGCAAAAACTTTGGTTGGATTAACTCAAGTTTGGATTAAGTCTCCACAAGTTGCACCCTTAGTATTTCTATATATGTATCAATAATTTTGGTAATGTTTGTACCATTTTCGATTTCTCATAAATTGGCATCATGCCAAAACCACATTAACGATTCAAAAATCGCTAAGGCTCTTTTTAGGTCGATCCCGATTTCTTTGGGGATGATGTGACATTGATATAAATAAAAATCCATACCAAACAAATCCATTGTAAATTTCTTAGAAATTGACTGACATCGCATCAATGATACCAAAGAAACAATTTCTTTAGGGGTGCAAAATCCGAATCCGATCCTTCTTTTGTCAGATTCTGCTAACCCTCTGTCAGTTTTTCAGATTGGGTTGAATCAGATAATCGGATCCGATTGCAAAAAAAAGGTTGGGTCAGATTCAGATATAATCCAGTTCGATCTGACCTATTATATATGTATATGTATATTTATAAACATATTTATTTATAAAATGGCATGTATATATTAATATATTTATTTATAAACATGTTTTGTATTTTTTATAAAAAAACATGTATATATTAATATATAGGATGAAAATAGTTAAAAAATACTTATATTTTTGTTTATCTTTATATAAATTTTTATATTTTTTCTTTTAATAATTAATTAAAATTTTCAAAATTTGAATTAGATCAGATCAGATTTAGATATCCAACATCCTTAACAGATTCAAATTCGAATTACCATTCATSAGATCCAATAGGATTGGATCTCGAATTTTCTATTGAATCTAACATGTTTGCATCCCTAAATAAAATGAAAAACAACATGGACTGAATTAGGGTTGTCCCCATATTCACATGTTAGGCTCAGTTTGGAAGGAGTACAAATGCAAATATGTAGAGTGCAAAATCTTATATTTTGTATTATTTTATATGTATTTGCACCGTACATATTTGTATTTATACTCTTTCCAAACTGAGTCATAGGATGTGTTTGGTTGCAGTGCAATTTTATTTGCGCTGATGCAAAGCCATAGTAGTGCAATTGATTTCAATGCAAATTATGATTTATTTTTATTTCAAAATTTACCTTATTTTATTTGATTGCAGTACAAATGAAGTAATATAAGACTTGAAATATAATAAAATAAAACCCAAAACAAAATTAAACCAGAACTTGCATTATTTTCATTTGCACTCCCAAGCATCTGTATTAATTCAAATAAAATTTTTACTGTAACTTAGCGCAACCTTAGGCTCAGTTTGAAAAGAGTACAAACACACATACATACAAAATAATACAAAATATTTGGTTTTGCACTCTACATATTTGTATTTATACTTAAGCTGCATTTGGAAAAGATACAAATGTGTGAATGCAAATATATATAATGCAAAAGGGTTCATATAAATTGTAAAATTGGGTTAGTTTTGTATCGACAAATTTATCCTCTTACCAAACTGACTTTTAGTTGTAATGGATATAAACACAAATTCCAATAAAACATATGTTTTTTTTTTATCAAAAACCCACTTGAATGCAAATTTACTTCTTTTTTATTAATGTACTTTTACATCTTATTATCAATGTAAATATATATTAATATATCATTTGTTAATGCAAACATACAATATTGCCAAATATATGCAAAAGTGAACTAAAATACAAATTTACCCTGAATCAGAATTTACACTCCATTTGCATTTTTTTCCAAACGCAGCCTTAAAAACAAAAAGCACATAGAAGACATTTCATACATCAATTATAATCATAAATCCCGGACCACAAAGCAGGATCCTTTTTATCATTTATGATAATATCATTAAAACCGTCGGTAAATTCTATGTTTAATTCCAAAATCAAGTGGAATAAAAGAGAAGAAAAATATAGAAAAAGAAATTATTCTATTTTTATAACCCTTTGGTTGGAATGGTCATTATTATCGTAATGGTAGTTTTTTGCAATGACACAACACAAATAACAGTGATGTGTGAGCTGGAGTGGACAAAAATAAAATACACCCCAAAATCCGTTGTACTTGTAAAAAACCAAGGCGGCAAATTGGTAATACAGTAAGTTAAACAAGGGCAAATAAGACATTAGCAGATTCAAATGTTTGTCCTTCCTAGTTCTTGCCACCTGAAGTTGGAACTTAGAAGGAAATAAAACGTTACAAAAACAAAAGAGAGCGTGGGACGGTGGGAGGAGTGGCGAAAGCTCAAAAACAGAAGAGAAACGGTTCCGTTCTTGTTGCCGTCGTCCCACCATCTCCCTCTCACACAGTTAATCTGGAAAAAGAAAACCTAAGTTCCTGCTGGAGGAGATTTGCAAGGGAACTTTCGTCCATCGAATTGATTTTTCTCGTGATCAAGTTTCTCTGAGTTCAATTTGACAACGATATTTCCAGGTTCTCTTTGATGTGTTCTTGTTTCTTCTCGTTCATGTTATGAATTTGGAAACGTTTTATATTTCGTGTTCTTTTGTTTTGATCGCCATTTCTTCTGTTTTCTAATGAGTTAGGTAATTTCGAAGATCTTACAGGCTCTTTATGATTTTCATAGTTATTGTGTTCGGAATAAGAAAATTATGTTCAGGAGAGTTTGGGATGAGTACTGCAAATGGAAATATAGACCTACAGCTCTGTTGCTTCTATTATTTTTTTATTGTCTCTGCCATGTGTCGCAACAAAATTACTCTCTCTCTCTCTCTCTCTCATCTCCTGCTGAAAGGCACAACCTGAAATCTTTATTAGATAGACATCATAAGCTTATTATATGATGATAGGAACATAACAATGTGATGTTGGTTGTTATTACTAAAGAAATGTTTTGTTCACAAAGCCGGAGGAAGCTCAGAAAAATGAGTTATTATTATTATTATTCTTTTTTTTTTGTCACCGGAGTTCTGAGAACGGAGGTTGGAATGCAACAGATGGCTACTTATCTAAGATGAATATGGTTACGGAAAGAAACTTATTGTTATGATGATTTTTCTCCAGTCAGTAAGAGCCTGATCATAATATCCTATTTCTGAATGTAATACAGGACTATAACATGGCGTGCCAATTTTTTGTGATAATGATGTGATTATCACATTAAGGGTGGAATCATGCCAGAGAGTAGTCAAGAGAAACTCGTGTTGTTGAGGCGGTACTATGCAAATTATGGTGCTACCTTTTATATTTAGAAAAATATTGGAGTCATATTTTCAGAGTCAATTTTCCAAAACTGCTAAAACTAATTTAGATGAGGATCTGGCTACAAGAATTCCTAATCATTCGGGTACTCAAGATTGAGTCAGTTGAATCTTCAGGTTGTTGCATAACTTACAAAAGGCTACAAGTCATCACAAGAATCTTTGGACTTGAAGTTCGCTGATTAAAAAAAAAAAAACTTTGTACTTCAAGCCATAACCCAAAAATTAACAATGTCAATGCAACATAAATAGCAAGAACACAAGATACTTTGCATGAAAAACAAAAACAAAAAAAGAAAGAAAAACTGTATCCTACCTCACCAATGGAAGAAACCCAAATGCTAGTATTATGCTCACTTACTTGCATAGCTGTTTCTTTTTTCAATACCTAATTACTTAGTTTTCTTCTTCCAGGTTTGTGGGATGTGTCTAACCATGTTTTTTTTTTCAATCTAAAAACTCTCAGGTGAATACTGGTACCCAAAGAAATAAATGGCTTCCCTTCAAGACATTGGTGTTTCAGCAGCTATTAATCTTCTATCTGCATTTGCATTCCTTGTGGCATTTGCTATATTACGACTCCAACCTTTTAATGACCGAGTATACTTTCCAAAATGGTACCTTAGGGGAATAAGAAGTAGCCCAACACATTCTGGAGCACTTGTAAGAAAGTTTGTCAACTTAGACTGTAGAACATATATAAGGTTTTTGAATTGGATGCCAGCAGCATTGAGAATGCCAGAACCTGAGCTTATTCAGCATGCAGGACTTGATTCAGCTGTATATATTCGAATTTACCTTCTTGGGTGAGTTTGTTTGCTGCAGTTTTTTGTATTGACTTTTTTTTTTATCAATTGTCCTTGGTAGTAAATATACTGAAATCCCACTTTATATTTTCTGGTTCTTCTCCTTTAAATTAATCCTTTTGAATGAGATTGCCTATTCTGTGATGATTACATCATTGCTACTTTCCAGTTTAGATATTTTTTCCAGTTCTTATGAAATAGGGCTGAAACTGCTTAGGAAGCTGTTTAATTTTGTTTGGAACTGATGTATACATATAGAATTGCTTGCAGAAACACACATGCACACATACACTACATCACTTACTATTCCAGATTGAAGAGTACCTGTTTTTGTTATACACCAATCATCTAATTCGTGGACATTGATGTGCAGGTTGAAAATATTTATTCCTTTCACTGTACTTTCTTTTGTTGTCTTGGTGCCTGTTAATTGGACTGATCGAAGGCTGGAGAGTATGGATTTAACATATAGCGACCTTGATAAGCTTTCAATTTCCAATGTTTCAGCAGGTTCAAAAAGGTGAGAAATACATTTCTTATCTTCAACAGAAGATATGGCTTTGGACAGAAAAGAATTAAGGAACAAGATTCGTACTGTTGACCTCTCTTATGTGCCTCTCGAAATTAAGTTGTACTTTTCTTTAAATCTTTCCACATTGGTCTTCTTTAGCTAATTCATTTGTTCCCCCAACATTTCTAATCTCAGTACATGCCGACATTTTCCCTTCTCCACTGCAATCTTCCTTTCTTGTTATGTCATGGCCAAAAATCTTCTTCTGAAAGCTGCTACCAGTAATAACCTTCGATGTTGCCAAACCTACTGAGTTGGTTTGATTTTCCTTTAACACAATAGACTCTTCAATCACCATCCCTTGAACTTCAAACTACTCTCCACCATTTACTCACCTGCTTGACACTCCTCTTTTATTCTCCCAATACTCTTCCCCTTTCTCCCCTTTTAGAACCTAGTTCCCCTCTCTTTTTTTTTTTTTTTTCTTTTGATACTCTTACCTCCTTTGTTGCTAAGATGACCCCCATCGTACCTGCTCTCTGCTCCCCCACTTGTTGAAAATCCATCCACCTTCCTACTGGCGTCCCCCTGAAGTCTTTCATTCCCTTACTTCCCTCCCCTACTTGAGTTCCTTCCCTCATCGTCCCCTTCTTTGCCTATCTTTGCTCAACTATTGCATCGGGACTTACCTTCCTTACTGCAGAACTATTTCTATCCAAAAAATCTTTAACCCCCTCACTTCCTGACCCCTCTCTGAGAAAGCAATCCTTACCTTGTTGCAATATAGGTTGACGCCAAGGTTCTAAATATCAATATCCAATGTATTGGCCTGTACCTTTGGTCACTTTAAATTTTTTTTTAGTTTTTTCAAACCTGTTCAGGGGGGCCGATATAAGGCCTGTCTACCCCTTGAAACAGGTCAACCCCCAAAACCCAAATTAAAGTGCTATATCAGTGGGTCACCAATATGATATGTATTGGCTGATACAGGTTGATATGTTGCGAAATTTTGATCCTTGGTTGACATTCATCATTCTAATGTTGTTGACTGCTGGAGATGCCCATTCTCCACCGAAAAACTTCTTTCTACTCTGCCACTAAACTTCCTCAAACCCCCTTTTGCTTTTCTTTGATTTGAAGCACCAGCATTTCCACTGCAAAAATACTTCGTCATAGACCACACAAATCCATCCTTTGACTACCTTGAACCAACCTGAGTTGTCTCCCCTGAGTTGTCTCCCCTGGTTTCTGTTCTTGCCCCAACCTGAGTTGTCTCCCCTTCTCTCGAAGCTCTGCCTGTCGAAATCTTTTTGTTTGAAACATTTAACTCTCCACTATTTCTCTTAACCAATCCAATTCTAGAACCGAGCTCCTTAAGACCTGGCCCACTCTCCCAAAAAGGCCCAGCCAGGATCTTGTGTAGCCCCTTGCATCCACTCGATTTATACTATCTGCATGTGTTGACGAGGGAGTTGTCCCACTCAATTAAGTAGTATCAATCATTCCCTGATTAATTCAATTCTAGGAGTAACTTTACTGCTGTATATGATCTACAGAGTATTTTTAACCTTTGATTTTGTTTTGAAGAAAGTGATATGTTCAACAAAAACGCTTATGAAGTATGTTGTTTGGAGTTGGTGGGTGAACCCATTTGGATATCATTCACATCAATAGAGACTTCATTGGAACAGTGGGGAAGAAACTGCATGATGATAATTGTTTGATATAATTAAACTTGCCTTGTTGATAGAGAAGTAGATCTAAAGGACCATTATCCAACACTGGTCCCAGCTATTAGGGGTTTTGGGTGAAGTAGATATGCTAATAGTAAAAGATGTGATGGGAAGGTGTGTTGAACACTATCTGGCTGAAGAGTCAGGCGACCACCTTTTACTGCAGTTTCTCTTACAATATCTGGGTAAGGATTTTAAAGATGTTTGCATTAAGTTGTAGCTGCCCATCAATAATGGAGGCTTTTGTGAAGAGCTAGAGATTGCAAGGCCTGAGTAAGAAAGGGAAAATTTTATGGAAATTAATTCCAGATTCAGTTTTCTGGTCGATTTGGAAAGAAGAAAACTCAAGGATGTTCCATAACAAAAGCTGTCGAGAGGATAAAGTGTGGCAGAGAATTGTGGGAAAACTGTACTCAAAGAAGTTTCGTTTTTTATTTTGAAAGTCTGTTTGTAATGCCTCATGGGATAGTGGTCTAATTGTTTTTTTTTTTTTTATGTTTTCTCTTTTGTACAGCCTCTGGTTGTACATTTGATCTTTATCTTTGAATGAATGGATACTTTACTTCTGATAAAAAAAAGGTGTGTTGAACACTAGCTGATTCTCATCTAATCTTTATTATGTTTTCCTTTTTGCCAACTCATCTATGTTGTTTTTTCATTTTTATAAATGTTGCTGCATTTTTTTATGGACTTCAAAGTCCATTGTGTTATTTTGACACAGTTTATGAAAAGGTTTTACTTCTACATCAAGGATGATTTTAGTGATTTTGTCCTGACCTTCTTCAAGGATTAACATTATTCTGCATCTATGTCCTAGTAGTTTTGATTTCTTTATGCTATTTTGAATGGATGATTTGGACAGATAATTGTCTCTTTTTACTGACTAAAGGTTAGTCTCTTTCTTCTTACTACCCAGGTTTTGGGCACACATACTGGTGTTTTATGTTTTTACATTTTGGACATTATATGTTCTCTATAAGGAATATGAGAAAATAGCTTCTTCTAGGCTTCATTTTCTTGCATCTCAAAAGCGTCGTCCAGATCAATATACAGTAAGTTTATTTTGAGATTTTGAGATTTGGAGACTTTTTTTTATCTTTTCATTATGAGCAAAGTGGTAAATGTTTCATGCTTTGGAGATTCATAATAACTTATTCCTTGTCATTTTCTACCACCGTAAGGAATTCTTACACCTTAGTCTCTTTGAAACATTGGGACTGGTTTCTGTTTTTTGATAATAGTTTTAATGCCTTCATTTCTTAATTACATGAATGTCGCATGCTATGAAATTGACATGATAGACATGAACTGTTTCATGGCTGTAAGATGTGCAAAATAGGTGAATGTTTTAAAAGAAAATGTTATTCTTTTGTGAGTCAATGGCACTGTGGATAGTGCTTCAATTCAAACATACTTAATGTCAATTAAGTGTTCTAACATAAAAATTAACATGCTTAACTGCTGTAGTCATTTTCTGAAAGTCATAATTTGGTGCTTCAAATTCTTTGCAAGATTCATGAGTGCTGATTGTAAAGTTTTTCTTGTGCTGTTATATCTGCTAGCGGTTGAACCCATGCAATGCATGGGGTTGAATAGAAATTTGGTAAGAGGCTTTGAAAAAAGACTTTTATGTACATGCCAATTAATAAAGAAGTGTTCAAAGAAAATAGAAGATTTAACAGAAAGTTATAAAATATCATCAATGATTGATTTGCAGTGTTTAGGTAATTATGACATATAAAAAGCAAAATAAAAAGATAAAAAGTCAAAGACATGGGTGAGAAAACTTTCAAACTTGAACGGCCCATCATAAGTAGTGCTGAGTTTAGCTTAGGTGGGTTTGGGTTAGCAAATCTGGGCTTTAACCTTGGTATTGATATAGCCCTGAACGTCCACCAAATTTATATCTCTACTTTATTACAGACAGTTAATGAGAATTCAAAGGGATTTAATAAGGGTAGGGAGAGTTACAAACACTGATGATTGGAGAGGAGTTACGATGAAATTTATCAGATAGAATTAAGACTTGAGAGGGCTTTCATTTGTGATTTTTATTTTTAATAAACAACATGTGTAAAAATGGAGAGGAGGCTCATGTGACCATTGAGGTGAGAGGACTCCATACCTACCCTCTTTCGTCTATATAATATAGATATAGATTGCATAAACTATCAAGTTTGTTTTTTTCTTTTTTTATTATTATTTTCACTTTCAAAGAGTAATCCTAAAATCAAAACCTTAACTCTTAACATCTGTTTCATTATTAGTGTCAGTAGATCAACTTATAGATGATGTTGGTGGATCCCCAAAATGGCATATGCCTAATGGGACCATTACCTAATGGTGGCCTTGGCTGTCCATGGTCTTGGGTGGAGAGGATATGACATAACTTTTTGCATTTTCCTCCTTGAAGTGGCCACTCTCAGACTCAAACCTGCATTCTCATGCTTGTGAGCCTAAGATTGACCATTTCACCAAGAAATGGCCCCTAAAATGAGATGCATGTCTATAATAATACATCATGCAGGCCAGTAATCAGAACATGTTGGTGAGTACTGATACACAACTAGTAATATCTGAAAAGACATTACATTGGTTAAATGGCATTGCTTGTAGAAGTTCACTGAGCTTATGGCCATGCAAGGCATTCTAAGACTGCAACTTGGGTTGGGCTTAACTTAAGTCGATTTCACCATACCTAGTTTCTGGGCCCAAATGGGCTGAGTTTTCATGATTCAGGTTTTGGTGTTTGCCTATGCACATGTATACAAATAGTAGTAAGATAACAATAGAATGACCTGATGGTAAGGGCAAACCTTGCTAACAAAGTAACAATTTGGTTGTCAATGGTCTGGGTCATGAATTGGCCTGATCCTATTACAGAGGGTCTGGATCTGCATTTCGAGCCTCAATTGTAATAGGATAACGATTGGTTTTACCTTTTCTGATCCGTTTAAGACCAATACAATGATGTATGTTTGTATTTATATACATAGTCATATACATGCAACACAAATGAGGAGGCACGTGCTGCACATGTATTGATAGTGGGTTAAAAAAGAAAAGAAATCCTATCTTTTCTGTGTTCATTTCCGAAGGTATTCACTTTATATACACAAGAAGATATAGTTTTTCTCCATATGCTCTCTCATAAGTTGGATATCCATTTTATTATATACACACACACATGACAAGGATACCCTATAACATTTTACACGTTTTTCTTATGGTTTACCTGTGATAACTTCATACAAGGTTCTAAAACCACCATTCTATATGGGATATACAAGATATTATGAGGAGAGAGAGAGAGAGATTTATTGTCAAATTTCCAAGCTATAGTTTTTTTCTAGTATAATCAAGTCTTTTCAGATTGCACCTAATAAGCCTGATTAATAATAATAGGGTTGGTTCTGGGTCAAATAACTACAGACCCTAAAGGGTCTGTGTATTGGGACCAGGTCCACCTTGACCTGTCCCAGATCAGGTCCATTGACAGCTCTAGCTAATGTATCATGTTTGCAAAATCTATGGTACAAAAACATGCTTTGCAGTACTGATGCTGCAAAGCACTTCAAGTTGTAAATTGCATATCAAGGCTGTAAATGTTGCACCCCATGTTTGCAAGCTTTACAGCATAAGTTTCCAGTGGTCTCTACATGCAACATTTACAACCTGAGAATGCAAGTTTCTTTTTTTTTGTTGGTAATACTGAGCATGCAAGTTTTACAATCTCAAGTGTTTTCACAGTACCGGTATTATACCTTGTTGCGTATGCTATAGTGATGAACTTCATTGGGGTTGTGTTTAGAATGATCAATAGGTTAAACATTGGTGGGGTTGGGTTGGATTATGTTGGCGCCAACCTGATTTGACCAAGCTTTACTTGCACCCTACACCAATTTTTTATCTAGTCATTTACATTTTAATTTTTTATTGGTGATTTGATTTGATAAGATTTTCTTCTGAAAAAATCTTATTTTCATATCTAAGAACTTGGTTATTTTTACAACAATTATATTCTTGCAGTTTTTCCATTGGTTCTTCCTTGTGTATTTCCTGTTGTGTAGACTAGCATTGTGGGCTTGGGCCTATTTGTGTTATGTTATGATATTTCTCTTTGTTTCTCCTTTCCTGGGCTTAATGCGCCTGGGACTATTCTGTTTCTTATGTTTCTTCCTGTCTACYAATCAGGGGCAGATTAGTCATTGTATCTTTTTTCTTATTGCCCTAATATAAAATATTGTTGTGAGGCTGTTTCATTGTGCGCCACCCATTTCTTCTAAACCCTTTTCTTTTCTGTTTCTCTTCTTTCTTCAAGACTGAATACAAACATTTCCATCCCAAAGGCTAAAGTTGTGGAAGCAATTTCATATTACAAGATGACATTTGAACATTTCTTTATCTATTTGTCCAAAAATTTATTTTATTCATTAAACATAGGATAGTTTATGATTATCATGATCAATAGTTGTTGAGTTGCTTCTTTAACTTTTTCCTTACACTGAATATGCTTCCCTTATCTTGCTCTTACATCTTAGTCTACCTTTCTATACCATTGACTCTTAAAATCTTCAACAGGTTCTTGTAAGAAATGTCCCTCCAGACACTGATGAGTCGGTTAGTGAGCATGTTGAACATTTCTTCTGTGTGAATCATCCAGATCACTATCTTACCCATCAGGTTTTGTATTTTCTTCGAGTTCTTGCCTTCTTGAATAGGCAAAATGACTTGTCATATTCAAGGCAGTCAGAGTAAAAAATGCATGGATATAATTTCCTTCTTATGCACCTTTTCAAGAAAAGCAAAAACAAAAAAACAAAAAGAGTTTCATTTCATGCATCTAAAACATACATCATATACTATTGTTGCTTTGGACCTGTAGGTTGTATACAATGCAAACAGACTTGCAAATTTAGTGGAGCAAAAGAAGAGTTTGCAAAATTGGCTTATCTACTACCAAAATAAATATGAGAGAAATCCTAAAAACAAGCCAACTACAAAGGTACTTTTCTTCACTTGATATTGTGGTTTTCTTTGTACTGTTATTTTTTTTTCTTTTGGAGATCATGATTATCTTTTAATCCTCAATTACTAATTTATATGAGTTCATCATCTTATATGGAGTCTTAATTATAGACAGGTTTTTGGAGCCTTTGGGGAACAACTGTTGATGCGATTGACTATTACACTGCTGAAATTGAAAAATTATCAAAAGAAGTGAGTTTTGTTAACATTCAAACTCTATGTTCCTTCTTGGGAAATCTTATATAATTTTTGTTTTTTAATTTGAAAACTATTTCTGTTTTAGAACTACACCAAATTGGCTATAATTTCTGTACTTGGGTTGGTCATTTTCTAAATTTATTATATAGACATGGTAAGTGTTGAGGGTTTTGGGCAGATTTGTGCAGATTGTAGTTGTTTTTGTTTATTGTTTGTTTAGATAGGAAGTGGGGACCACAGCACTTTTTTTGGGTCCTTTTTTAGTGGTTCTTTTATGTTATTTATGCAGTTTAATGTGTTAGCCACCCTATATGGGCATATTAGTCATTGTACCCTTTTTATTTAAAAGTATAAATACTAGTGGGGAGGGTGACCGGAACTGATTGCTCTCTTTTCCTATCTCAATCTCTTCTCTTTTCTTTCTCTTCTTCAAGAAATATCTCTTTTCTTTATAGATTCTTTGATTCAATAGTTTTCTACTTGGTATCAGAGCAAGACTAGGGTTTCTTGGAGTTCTTCCATGCAGTCCTAGATCAACCAGTTGCATGAGGAGATAAAGGGCTGATCGATATACTTCAGACTGCCCAGTTCTTGGATTTTTTGGTGGGTTTCAGTCATCAAGAAGGTGATCTGTGTTTTGGCATCAAAATCAGGAAGAACTGGAGTGTGGGGAAGAGTCTTAGTCAAGTTGTACTCTTCATTTTGTATCTAATATTGGGTGCTTGGACCTTGTTGGACTTATCTAGGTTTTGTATTGGGGGAGGTTTGGTTTTTGGGAGTTTTTGAGCCTTCTGGAGTGATCGATTCACTTCTCTCCAATGGGAGACGATTGGAGAAGAGGGATTTCTCTCCGGATAGGTTTTTCTTCTTTCAAAAAGGTTTGTTACCCTTGTGTGTGAGATCAATTTGATATTGGAGGCTTTCTACCTAGTTATTTCTTGTTTTTGAATTGTTTGAAGTTGAAATGGAGAGTTAGAGTACTGAGCAGAAGTCCACCAATAACATGGGTCTAGGTGTAGGAGATACTAGTGATATTTTTAGGTTTGGGATTTTTACCACAATGAAATTGGATGGTTTAGAATGGGCATAATCAGCCAAGATGGCCATTAGTGCTCGTGGGAAACTAGGGTACATCATTGGGGAGGAGAAGAAACTTGATACAAATTCCTCCCGATGGGCACATGAGAATTACATGGTGATGTCGTGGTTACCTCACATTGCTAAAAATTTTTTGTGGGCTAATACTGCAAAGGAGATTTGGGATGGAGTGACTGGAACCTATTCCCAGAAACAAAATGTAGCTAGAGCTTATCAGTTATGGAATCAGGTAATTCAGGGAGATAGACCACTTGCTATGTACTTCTCCATGCTGAAAACACTTTGGCAGGAGATAGATCACTTAGAGACTGTGGTTTGGAAGAGTACAAAGGATGCAACAACCTATCGGAAGTTGGTGGAAAAGAATAGGGTCTTTGAGTTCTTAGCTGAATTGAACCCTAAATTTGATATTGCTAGGCAACACATCCTTTCCAAAGAAAGTGCGACTCTTTCTCAAGCTTATACCTTTGTTTCTGGAGAGGAGAGCAGGAGGAATGTCATATTGAGACAGCCTAGGATTAACCAGTCGTCTATGATTAGTACAACAAAATCTAAGCCAAATGGAGATAGGGGAGTAGTGAGACTAGGAGGGAGGATAAGGAGGACTTGGTGTGTGATTATTGCAAGAAGACTAAGCACACCAGAGACACTTGTTGGAAACTCTACCCACATCTCATACCATCTTGGGTCAAGAACAAGAAGAGAAATGCAAATGTGGCAATTACAAGACTCTTCGGGACCTCTTTCCCAAGCTAACTTGGAGTCCATTGCAGTAGCAGCAATTAGAACTGAATTGGAGAAGTATGGACAGCTTATGAGAAAGAAGGATTCAGCTGGTTCTAGTTCTTCGGATGGACAACAGAGTGCAGAATCCAATCACACTACTTCCTTTGCTCATACAGGTAGTTCATATGCAATTGCAAATTATGCATCCACCTCAGGTAAGGAGGGACCTCCTTGGATTATAGACTCAAGAGCATCTGAGCACATGACTAATATATCTACCCTTTTTAGTTCTTACCGATGGTGCTCTAGTAGAGACAAAGTCTCTATAGAAGATGGTTCCCATATTCCCATTGTTGGGAAAGGGATAGTTAGAGTGATTGATGACATAACTTTATCCTTTGTCTTACATGTCCCTAGACTCTATACTAATCTTCTTTCTGTAAGTTCTTTGACAAGAAATTTGAACTATTCAGTGACTTTTCTTCCTAGTAATTATGTTTTGCAGGAGCTGGAGTCAAAGAGGACAATTGGGAGTGGTCGTGAGGTGAATGGAGTGTACCTTTTGGATGATATTCCAAGACATCAAAGCCATCACGTTAGTAGCAACAGTAGTAGTGGATCAGAGTCAGTGAGTTAGATTATTCCCTGGCATAATCGTTTGGGTCATCTTTCTTTTAGTTCATTGAGATCTTTGTTTCCAAAGTTGTTTGAGTTTGTTCAGTTATCTAGTTTGGAGTGTGAAAGTTGTTAGTCAGGAAAGCATTGTAGACATTCTTTTAAAACAAGTAATAAAAGTTCTTTTGCTTTTGATATTGTTCACACTGATGTATGGTGACCTTATCATATTTCTTTCATGGGTGGTTACCGTTATTTTCTTTTGTTTGTGGATATTACACACGGTATTCTTGGATATATTTGATGAGATCACGTGATGAGGTACCTATTTTGGTGTCATAGTTCTACCATGTGGTTCTCACACAATTTGGAGTGAGGACTAAGATTTTCATATCAGACAATGCTAGAGAATACTTTGAGAAGGATTTGGCCACATATTTTTTGGAGTATGGGGTGATTCATTAGAGTAGTGCATATACACTGCAGAAAAATGGGGTAGTAGAGAGGAAAAATAGACACATTGTGGAGGTGGCAAGAAGTCTTATGATGTGTGCTTCAGTTCCTGTTCGAGCTGATCTCATTGATCCTGGTCTTCCCATTTCACTCCTCAAGGGAAAGAGAAAGTGTACAACCCATTGCATTTCACACCATCTTTCCTACAATGCCCTATCACTTTCCTACCGTGCATTCCTTTCTTCCCTGGATTTTGTGACTTTAATCTATACCCAGGAATGTTTGTGAGGCTCTCTCCAATCCTAAGTGGAGAATAGCTATGCAAGAAGAAATAGAGGCTTTGGTTAAGAACTAGACATGGGAGATAGTTGATCTTCCCATAGACAAAGAGACAATCGGATGTAGATGGGTATTCACTGTGAAGTACATGGCTGATGGTAGTATATAGGCAAGGTTGGTTGCAAAAGGGTATACATAGACCTATGGTATTGATTACCTGGTGACCTCTGCACTAGTAGCTAAGATGAGTTCAATTCGAATTCTCTTGTCTCTAGCAGCTACCTATTCATGGCCCTTCTTCTAGCTTGATGTTAAAAATGCATTCCTTAATGGTGATTTGCAAGAGGAGGTATATATGGACATTCCAACTAGTTTTTATGAAAATGTTGGTGAGGAAAAAGTTTGTAGGCTGAAGAAATCATTATATGGTTTGAAACAATCACGTAGGGCATGGTTTGACAGGTTCAGAGGGGCACTTATCTGGTTTGAATACACACAGACTCAGTCCGGTCATACACTCTTTGTGAAAAGGAGAGAAGCACTTGTGTCAATACAGATTGTGTATGTGGATGATATAGTTGTTACAGGGAATGATCTGAGGGAGATTGATGCACTCAAGAAGTCACTACAACAAGAGTTTGAGATCAATGATCTAGGTGAACTAAAATATTTTCTAGGATTGAGGTTGCAAGATCCAAGCATGGGATATTCATCTCTCAGAGGAATTATGTGTTGGGACTTACTACAGGAAACTGGGAAGCTAGGAACTAAACCAACTGATACTCCTATTGATCCAAACCATAGGATTAATGCTTTGGATGGTGAGTTGGTTAAGGATGTGAGGAGATATCAGAAGACGGTAGGCCAACTATTATATTTATGTATGACACGTCCATACATTTCCTGTGATGTTAGTGTTGTGAGTCGGTATATGCATGCTCCTCGGGTTCAGCACTGGGAAGCCATTGAGAGGATACTTGCATACCTGAAGTAGCATCTTGGAAGAGGGATTCTATTCTCAGACCATGGGAATTTAAAACTAGAGTCCTATACAAATGCAAATTGGGTAGGTTATTTAGATGACGGGAGATCCACATCAGGGGTATGCACCTTTGTGAGAGGAAATTTGGTTTCATGGAAGAGTAAAAAACAATCAGTTGTGGCTAGGTCAAGTGCAAAGGCCAAATATAGATCTATGGCCCATGGTGTTTTAAAGCTACTTTGGGTTAGATCCTTGCTGAGTGAGATTGGAATAAGAGCTGAGGAGCCCATGATGTTATATTGTGACAGCCAAGCTGCAATTAATATTGCCCACAATCTGGTTCAGCATGACAGGACAAAGCACATTGAGGTTGATTGACACTTCATAAGAGAGAGAGGACAATCAGAGAATTTTGTTTGCCTAATGTCTCCTCTGAATTACAATTAGTTGATGTCTTCATCAAAGTGGTTGCAAAGAACAAACTTGAACATGACCTACGCAAGTTGGGAATGTGTGACATTTACTCCCAACTTGAGGGGGAGTGTTGAGGTTTTTGTGCAGATTTAGTAGTTGTTTTTGTTTATTGTTTGTCTAAATAGGAAGTGGGGACCACAACACTCTTGTTGGGTCCCTTTTCAGTGGTTCTTTCAAGTTATTTATGCAGTTTTATGTGTTAGCCGCCCTATAAGGGCATATTAGTCATTGTACCCTTTTTTTAAAAGCATAAATACTAGTGAGGAGGGCGGCCATAACTGGTTGCTCTCTTTTCCTTTCTCAATCTCTTCTCCTCTCTTTCTCTTCTTCTTCAAGAAATTTCTCTTTTCTTTACAGATTCTTTGATTCAGCAGTGTTCTACTCGTAAGCAACATGCAAAGCCTGTTTGGGGTTGTATTGTTAGTAAACCTCATCTATGCTAGTGTGGTTAAAGAAAATTTTCCAATATCCTACTTAAAAATTTCAGTGCCCCATTATGCTATTTGTGGCAATCTATCATTTGGATGTAGTAGTGTCTAGCAGATATGTGTATAATAGTCCTATGGCATTATTCAATAATCAAGTCCAGCATGAACAAAGTTGGCATCGTTGGACTAAATGGAGTTGAAAATAAGGAAAAAAATATGTGAAACTTATAACTGTATTTAGGTCAAGGAAGACTGGAATGAAAAAAAAAACCGACTTTAGCAGTGGGAGATGAGGAAAGGAGAATGTGCTTCAACTTAAAACAGAGATTAAGTAATACGAAGGTAGCTAAATAAAGAATAGCCATTGCTTCGTTTTTTTCTATTAACTTTGGGACATATTTCTTCAAATACTGGACAGCTATGTCATTGGTTATTTATATATCAAGTGCAAGAGAAATGTGGTATTATCCGCATATCATATGTGCTTCTGAAATAACACACTTAATAAAATTCATTACCATAGATTTTCTATGATTTCTTTTAATTAATTGTTTTGTTTTCTAATACTTCCTCAAAACATGGATTTGAGGGAGAGTTCCATTTACTCCATCTTTTGAAACCTGAACTTGTTTATGACTTCATTTACTTTCCTGTTGGAGTGCTGATCCTATAGCATTCTTTCTGATTAACTATTAAAAGAAGGTTTCAATTAGGATGCATTTTCTTTTTTCATTAGAATATTTTCTTCCTCTATCTTCTTGTTGCATAACTAAATCACCCTTTGACCAGGAAGCTGAAGAAACAGAAAGGGTTATAAGTGACCCAAAGTCTATAATGCCTGTGGCATTTGTTTCATTCAAAACTCGATGGGGGGCAGCTGTTTGTGCTCAAACTCAACAATCAAGTAATCCAACACTTTGGCTGACAGAGTGGGCCCCTGAGCCTCGGGATGTCTATTGGCCTAATCTTGCAATACCATTTGTTGAACTCAATGTCCGTAAATTGATTATGGCTGTTGCACTTTTTTTTCTTACATTCTTCTTTATGATCCCTATTGCGTTTGTCCAATCCCTAGCCAACATTGAAGGGATCCAGAAGGTGGTGCCTTTCTTAAAACCAATAATTAAAAAGTAAGTGACTCCTTGTTATTTGATTACATTTTTCTTTTAGTAATTTTAGTTTATATTTTGCAATTAAGCTTGTGCTTCCATGCATGCAAAATGCCTAATTTGCACTATGGTTACTATGCAAAACTTTGTTTTATCTATCATGGCGATACTGTGTTATAATATGTCATTGGCTTAACAAAAAACACGTATATAGAAGAATGATTTTTACTTATCACAGATATTTTCTAATTTTGGCAAACTCATTAAATTGGAAAGGACTCTATATAAGGGTGAGAGAATTTCAGACAAAAATTACTTAAATTTTGTTGTATTAAAAGAAACTATATATACATATACATATACATACAAATATAAGACATCTAGTTAAATATAATATATTATACATAATTAAATAATACAAATAAACTAACTATTTTTCTTCAGCTACATTTCTGAAATTCAAGAAAGCCTTATTCATGAAAAAGCACCAAAATCAAAACCTTGCTTGTCACGATTTGCTTCATACAAGGGAGAACTTTCAAACAACCTTTTGTTCTTCTCCTTTCAAAAGACCCCTACAGATTGCAAGTGGGATGTAGCTCCCAACAACTATGGCTTTCTTACTACTGCAAAAGTAAAAAAGTAGAATAAAATAAAAACTTGCAAAGTTTTTTTTAACAGCAAGAAATTCAGAATTATATTAAATTATGAAGCTGGTTAATACAATGAAAGGGTAAATCCACCCAAATAACAATCTAGACCCAAGAACTTTACAAGATTACAGTCGTGCCCAAGTTGTCTATATACCCCTTGTTTTTCTGAAGTATTGGCCATCCCATTTTCTGTCCTTCTAACCCATTTGAAAGATACATCCATCTCCTGCTTGATAAAATCTTCAATACTAGATCTTATCTTTTTTTTTTTTTTTGGAAAATGACACTATGACCAACAAGAGGGTGAAACTTTCATGCTCCCATCTATTAGATGCTATCATATGCATAGAAAACAGTATACTTGTGCTTCTAGTTGGAAAAGATGAGTTTAAGCAAAAATATTGTAAATTTGCATTCAGACCACGCCTTGTGTGCCATGTTTTACTTTTAGATGAGGGAGAAAATTTTTTATGCTCTCTTCGGTTAAGCAGTTATTACCAGATCAGAAAAAGAGTGGAAGACAAGTACATAAAAGAAGAGAAAAGAGAATCGAGGAATAGAAAATCTGGGGTAACAAGGCAGGCTCTGAAATGGGGAATGCAATGACCATGGGATGACTTATAGTAGTAATCTGTTTATGGGTTCCTGGTTTTAACTGACTACAACTCTTCTCTTGCTGTTTATTATCCAAAAAAGGAGAGGGAGCAAGAAGTGATTCAAAGGGAGAAAGGATACCTCATCTGATAACTCATATGTACATAAATGACCAGAATACCTCCTCTGACTCCCTTTAATTACATAATATGTCAACAATTACTTGTGGGGATAAGATATGAAAAGACAAATACACCCCTAGTAAATTACATCAGACATGAAGAATATTAAGTACTAGAAAGTGTCAGCTAGCTTTCTGATAAGGTCTCTGGCTAGTTGCAGTGGAGACTTGGGATTAAATCCCACCCAACACTCCCCTTAAAGCTGGTGTGTAGATGCCAGCTTGCCAAGAACTTTTGGGAAACTTATTCTACTCCTAAACTTATTCTACTCCTATTTCTTTCTTCAAGGCCTTAGATTGTAGTCTTTCCCCTTCTCTATCTCTAACCCTAACAATAGAAATGGAAAGGGGGTATTTTGAAATGATCCATGGGAAGCAAAAAAGAACCAACTTGGTTTAGTTGAAGGAAACAATGATTAGAAAGTTTTGACAGTGTGGCCGGCCAGAGATAAGGGGAAGAGGAGAGAAGAGAAGAGAAGAAGAAGAGAAGAGAAGAGAGGAGAGAAGAGAGAAGGTTTGCAATGTAACAGTACTGG